AACCGACGACATTTTTTTGTTATTGCAGAATAAGTTTTAAAACTTTAAATAAGAATATGCACTTGCACAACTGCGCCGCAATGTAATGAAATGAATGAAGGTATGAATAATTACCTAACAATAGCAAGTCATCAAATATATGTAATTATATATGTAATTAAATTATGTTGAATATTGAGTCAATAAATCCATTTACGTATGAAATATATTTGTTTTTAGAATTAGAAAAATCTTAAGAAAAATTTAACTTATAAATCTTTGAAAAGATTCTTAAATACAATATTTTTTCATTTTTTTTAGCGTTATTATTGTACAAGTTTATTTTTTAATAAACTTAATAATATTTCTTTTTGCAATTTTATTTATATTACATAATAATTTGTGCATCAAATGACAATATACTTTGAAAATGTCCATACGTGATATAATCTGACACGTGTAACATGATAGAGAGTAATTTAATATCATTCCGTTAATTATATAATTTACTATCATATATTTACGTGATATCATCAAGTTCAGATTATTATATAAGACAAATATTTATAACGCAGCATGAAAACATTTATAAAAGTGTGATTATAATCCACAGAGGATAAAAATTACGACAGAGGAGAGAATTCTAGCCATTTATCTCAATATACACCGCGTGATTTTCTCTTTCCTATTAAGGACTCATACGATGACTAGATTAGCGACGACAATATCGAGCATAAATCTTGATTCACCTCGCATAATTGCTCTTGAGGTTGTACATATCAGATTCCGCAGCCTAATGATTTAAATCGTGCATGAATCAGCGCGGACGCGTAGAATTCCAGCTGAAAATAATTCGCTTACGGTTTCGAACGGAACGGAACGGAAGGGGAGGAAAAATGTAAGAATGGGCGTGAAATTAATGCTTCGACACACATATATCGGTATCTCTCACGGGAAACGAAAACCGGTGATAAATCCAGCGTTCGTGAGATATAAGGCAGGTATAAATAAAGCGCGCAAAATAACTGGCATTTTTAACTCCGTCGATCTCCCCCGCGCCACCGTCAGAAGAAGAAACCGTATCCTCTGCGAAAAATCGCAGGATACATCGAACGAATATATATGCCCTATCCTACTCGATCTACTTGCCCATATATCCGAACTATTTCTTCCTGTATATCGCAGCTCTCGCATTCGATACTTGCCGGTAAACACAGCCGCTGATGCGAGTAAATAAGACGATAAATTTACGACGGCGAATTCCTTTTCCGACCCCGATAAACATACTCGCCAATTGCCAAATACTCATTTATCGTCGGGATAAACCCTTCGGATGTTCGATTCCCTTAGAAAGTTCAGGTAGTTAATCATGTACGTTTTTTTCACTGACGACAGATAATTTATGACGCAATTATCCGATTTTTCATTACATCCTTTGTTAGTATAAGAATTAACACTATATAGTACAAGCTGTCCTCAACGATGATTGATTACCGTGACAATTACTAACAACCATTGTAAAATTTATCGAGCATTGTATACCCAGTTACGTTTGCATTTAGATTTAGTGTCAATTTTTTATTATCTCCTTTCGCAGGTTAGGCATCTTATTTTGAGATTATTTCACGTAGACACCAGGCAGTCGATTGTGTATCTTGAAACGAGATGAAAATGACAAAAATGAACGAATTTATTAGAATATTTATAATTTTATTGGTCAATTCCTAATAAATTGCTCATTTTTGTAATTTTCAAGATACACACTTGACCCTCAGACAAAGATTTGCAGCGGAATCGACAATCGATACGACACTTGACGTCTCGCGCATTTTTCTGCCTCAAGCACTCACATGAGATCTATTATTCTGATCTCTTCTGTTTCTAAATACTTAACTGCTCATTTTTAAAATAGTATGATTTAAATGTTTTTGATATCGATTTTTAAACAAAAAATGAAAAGCTCTTAAAAGTTCAAGAGTGTAAGTTATTATTATTACAAATTGGTAATTAATACATTTTATAATTTTACATATGGCTTCATGCTTTATTATGAATAACGTCTGTAAATTTATAATTTCTTATATTATTATATAATCTATCGTATGTATGTATATAAAATTTTGTGTAATATAATATTTATTGTGATAAAATATGGAATCTGAGAGTAACTTGAGATAAATTACGAGTCAAGCATTTCGCGTGTTATAGGGAAATACTGCTGACTCAGCGAGGTCCATTAGTCGCGAACATTTCAAATTTTCCGACATGCTTCGGCCACTCGTCGTTATTTTCACGAACTGTGCACTTATGGCACTTAAATCGTATACAGACGCAATAGAATGTATGCAAAGAGAGTCAGTATTTTCTGCAAACTGTAAATTTTATAACGGATTTCAAGAGTCAGAAATTCAAAGTCAACAAAAAGATGGTTAACTTTATAAATGACATTTTTATTAAAGTCCATTAAAACGTAACTTTCTTTTTGCGAAATTATGTACCTCTTATTGCAATTAGTTTGCAATTTTTAATATTGAATGATAAATTTTACTTTGTAACTCTATTTTAAGTGCTTCTTAATGAAACGTCAGTTTCATATTTATTGAAGAATTATATATTGATCGAAGGAAAGCGCGTTTTGATGCATTCGAGAGATATAACGGATATAATGGACGTTTGTGCATTCATAGTATATGCGTATTATTTCCAGCGAGAATTCGGGTGCCACTGACACGTGTGATAACGGAGCCGCACTTTTGCACTTTTCCGTATGTCAACGTTTGAGATTGATGCTGACGAGATTTATATGATAATGATGTCTCATCATCAAGGCAAAGAAATACGATACTACACTTTTCTATGCATATTGACTGCAAAAAAATATTGCGCTCTGCAATTAACATTTATTTTCGAAGTTTTGCTTTCTGCACTTATTCAACAAAAATTATAAAAATGCAATATCTCAAAGATTTGCATTATGCGATCTAAGCTGCATAACAATCGATCGTTAATATATTGATAAACATCATTTGATGATTGAAATTTAGCTGTTTTTACGTTGATTGATTTTCATCTTCAAATTGATAGAATGAATTAAACCATATAATTGCAAGAAAAATTAATGTATACAAATAGCTGAAGGTGAGTTTTTTTGTTAATGTTTTCACATCCACTGGATTAATTTTTTTTGTGGGCAATGTCAATTATTCCCCCAAAAATTACACTTTGTCAGAACCATATGGAAATCCTTCGGAAAGATATCCGAGCCGACTCAATAAACGTCAACGTGAGAGATTTTCGCGTCATGTGCCAGCGTTCAAAAGCGTTATAATTTCGAGTATAATTCTCTGCAGCTGCGATATATAGATGTTCGAAGAGAAGATAAAGGAATGAATTTCTTTCGGTTTTTGACAAGCCAAGAATAAGATTTTATTTTTTTCTTTAAGTAATAAAAAACATTGTAGCAAACTTCATTATTATGAAACTATCTTTTAACTTAACGTAGAAAATCGGGCTATGATATGATGCGACGCAGGCAAAGTATATATAAAAGTCAATTACTACTAACAATAATTACTATTTATCATGTTGCAAATAGAGTTAGTTGAAATTATGCGATCTAGAATAAAACGGAGCGTCTCTAAAGTGAATGAAAGTAATTAATTAAGATCACCACAGTGTCATCAAGCTTAAAAGAATTAATTACTCCGGCATTCAATTAATTAACTTTTTAACCGAATCACAATTTATAAGTGACAAAAGGTAGAGCTAACAATAGTCTACCAGTACCGAAACTCTCGTCTCTTCGTCTCTCATCTCCGATGTTTGATCATTTTTGCGCGCGATCAGTTACTACTTCGGTCGACTTGTTATCGAATAGAACGATGTTGACATTGCTCAACTATCACGTCATCTCTTTCATTCCTCCCTCAATTTTATTTTAATTAGAGAATTTGTAGGATTTTAATTAAGGCGGCAATTTTCCTGGTGAAGGAAACGTGTGTGTGCTTTATATGCGAACGTCGAAATTCCGCTCGGCGCCATGCAGAGTCTCACGTTCTTACGAGCCGCCGTCTCGTCGTCGTCGCCATGCAATTACATCATCGAAAACAACGCGAAAACGTATAATATAGTATATTTCCCACACGCCAATGCGAGCGTAACAAATTATATCGTAGCAAAATTTATAACGTCGAGCTCGTCAGAGTTTCGACTTCTTCGTTTTCAACGATAACGAATACTGAAGTGTGAAAAATTATAAGAGAAAATGCAGATGTTTATTAAAATTTCTATCAAATTAAATTAATATTATCACATTTTAATTTTTAATTTAATAATATGAACAAAATTAACAACACACTTGTAAAATTATTTACATTACATTTACATTTACATAAATTAAAAATATTTTTTGTACTTGTACAAATATATTTATTTTGTCATTGTTATTAATTCACAAATTTATTAAAAAACACAAACATACACACACACACACACACACACACTGTAATTATTTATTCCTGATAAATGCTTTTGCATTTTAAATATTTATATATTTTCTCGTTTTTCCATTATTTAAAATGTACATTTAAATAAACAGGTCCTAATAATTTTCCACATCTATTTCTATAAATATGCACGATTCAAACTTTCAGTGTAATATTTCAAGACAAATTCTGAAACTTAAAGAAACCAATTTTCTTCGTGAAAATTGCAACTCGTCATTTTCAGTTTATTTCCTTTATTGTTCGTATGGATACACCTGGAGTGCTTTCAAAAGAAACATACATTTTCCGCGTCTTCTCGTTAAGAGTTAAACGTAGAAACGTGACTTCGCTGTAACTACGGCTACGACCAGTCACGCTCAACATTTCGTTGTTGTCATGCAAGTACCGCTCCGGCTCGTTACACCAGACCAAATAACACTTCAACACTTGCTCGATCCTTCCTACTCGTCTTCCGCTACATCCTAAATCCATTTACACAGTACACAACATCTATCATGACAGGTAATTGTAACATACCATATGACGCGGCTGCTTCCGAGTTTGACGATTTATCGCAAGTCTTCCGCGACTCCGTGCAGTCCTTCTGGAATCCAGTGGATACCGAACGTCCTAAGATCACCGTACACTGACTCTTCTTCGATCAGTAACGTGCACTATCACTCTAGTGTCATCCAAGCAACAACCCTCGGGGACCAAGATCGCGCGGCGTCTCTCGCTCTCCTCGATCCTGGATCAACTGATCCCAGTATTGGCGATCGATCGATCACCGGCCCACTTTGATCACCCCCGAGTCAACGACTGTTATGTGCTTGGTTTCCGGTTCTCTCTCTCTCTCTCTCTCTCTTTCTCTCTCCCTCTCCCTTTTGCGCGCACTGATCATTCACCCACCACCACCACCAGGCACGGCACGACGCGACGGCGACGACGGGTGGTGACGACGACGACGACGACGACGATGATGACGACGACGACGACGACGACGATGTGGACGATCGCGAGGTCGGTGGCGGACTGGCGCGGGGCAACGCGCGAGTCACCGTCGACGACGAGTCGAGTCGCTCTGATGAGGAGATCCTGGGGGGCCGTCAGGCTGGCTGGCGAGGAGGTGGCGGGTGGGACGCGAGGGTTGCTAATGGAGAAAGAGAGACAGAGAGAGGGAGAGAGAGAGGGAGAATGAGAGGTCGAGAGCGGCGGAGCGGACGTTCAAGAGGGGAGGAAGGGACGACGGCGTCGGCGTCGGTTCTTCGCCGAGGGCGTGGTCCTGGTGACGAGCGCGTTGTACCGGACTACAGAGCCAGAGACGAAGCGAGCGCTGGTTCAGATGCTGCTGACACTAGCTGGCGGTTGCTGCCTTTGCTGGTACCGGCGAGACCGGTTCGCGAAGGTGCAATGACTCTGAAAATCCTGTCCGGGAAATACGCTTGGAAATTTGGAGCTCCAATTTTTACACTGAATCAATGTAACTCAATTACATCATTGTTAAATTTATTGCGAAATTTATAACGAGAGATACATCCTGCGTGTAATACATTGCATAATTGAAACTCCTTTCTCTCTGGGACTTACAACTTTTATAAAGACAGTCTTCATATTTATGGTTTGAAAATAACTGAAAAAAAATCTTCTTTGTTAATAGTATTCTGATGTTTTAATATATTTTGTCGGGTAATATTTATAAGATTTCTTATTAAAAAATTACGAACCACATCAAGGACAAAATGACAGAAAGCTGTACATTTTGAATGAATAATAATTATCATCGGGAATTATTTGTATCGAGAACTGATTCATTTCTGATGAGTCTTGATTCAACATTATTTAATTTATATTATTTGTATTTAGTTACAAATTAAAGGTTTTAGAATAATGTCGATTAAAATGGCCGCGTAAAAAACTGGTGTTTTGTATTTTCGAAAAATCTTTCCTGTTGAGAAAATCCATATTCTATTTCAAATACGTTGTTGTTATTCTTTCCGTCCCGATAAGATTCTAGCGGCATAGGACGCGCATTCATTATCGTCATATTCTTTATCCGCAAAAGAAAACAGAAGCAGAAACGAAATGTCATCGTTATTCTGCATTCTCTTTTTTTCGCGTTCTTGCAGGAAGAATATCCTGGCGCCTGCCGGTATTCCTCGCCCACCGGAAATTACCGAAACTCGCCACATCCGTCCCCGATGTTCGAGACGTTTTTACGTTTTTGTTGTAAACAATGTTTCATTAGCGCAACGCGGTGGCTATCATTGGACTACAAACGACACGACGAGGACGCATTCACCATTACTATTCGTTTTGAAGTCGTTACACGAGCTGTGGCGAATAGAAATTAATCAGAGTCGTTGGAAATCCTCGTTCGCCATAGTTATTTTACCGCTACCGGATTACATGGTGCATGTTTCTCAAAAACAAAAAAAAAACAGTATTCTACAAATGACGCTGTTTCTCACACGTGTATTATGTGAAAGATGGTCTCACGTATATTATCTTTGTATAAGATATCATAAATTTTCATATAAAAGTTAATGCTATGAATATTTTAATTTAATAAAATACATGATAATCATTATTATAATAATCATCATTAAAAGAAAATATTTAAGAAAATTACCAGAATTAGTTCAAATGATTTAAAAAATAAAATGAATGTATTTATATTATTAGTTAAAAATTTTACATACAGTACGCAGAAATTCAATTTTTTTGCAATTATACATTAAAATAATCCTATGAGATAGTTCTGACGATTGAAATTAAATAAAACGTATTTTGATCCCCAATAGTAATCTGAACATTCTTTAAACTTGCGACTGCGCAAGGACTATAGTTCTTCCTAATTAGTACTTGGCATTTAAAGAGAAGAATCGTTTTATCTTATTAACGTTTTAATAATTATCTTATTATTAAGTGTGGGAGAATCGATTTTCTGTCCATTGCTGATTATTACATCTGTATAACCGTAAATCCGATTTCGCGTGCCGAGTATATCCTACGCGATCGATAGTCGTTGAAAGATGCAGGAAATGACAATTGCGATCTTCTAATGCAATTGTATCACGATACAATCTGAGTGTCGCAACGAAAATTAGCGCGCAATTAAACTTACAGTTTCGTTCTATTATTAGAGATGGCTCGTCCAAATAAACTATTCGATAATCTTCTGACGATGATTCGCATAATGCGAATGCCACTGTACATAAAAAATGGAATAATTTATGAATAAGATAATTTGTGTCGTTTCCTTGTTTTGTGTGTGTGTGTGTGTGTGTGTGTGTGTGTGTGTGTGTGTGTGCGTGTACAGGAAAAATAAAATATTTAAAAAAGAACAAAAAGGAATGTGTTAATTTAAAATACATTAAAGACGTATTAAGGACATATTATATTCATCAAGGTCAAAAGATTTTTCGTATCAGAGAAGCTTGAAAAGTAAAGTGAAATAAAGTAGCGAACTAAATTATGTTATGTAATTTCAAAATAATTTTATTAATCAAGACAAGTCACTTTTTGTTTCAATATAATACACAATTATCATTTAGAAAGAAATTTCCTAGTTTTATTTCTTTAATGAAGTGAAAAAATCGTACTAATTTTACTTAAAAGAATGTCACAGAAAAAAAGAGAACATGAATATAAATTAAAACAGACTATAAAATATAACTATGCGTCTTACATAATGTATAAAGTATTTTTCTTTCTCATTCTTACAAGAAAACAATTTCTTTCTATGAACTTTATGCGAGATTTCAAATTAATGATAAATAGAAAAATGAGAGTAATTTGATACAAATTATGATGTTATAAATAATTTTTCTTATCAATATATGAAATTTCTAATGTCAAAATAATATCGTAATCTTAATAAAGTGGGATTTAGCAGGGTATTGCAGTCTTTTAGAGATGCTATTAAATTATTTAGGAAAGAAGTATTTATTATTTATAAGTCTAATTATTTTATATATTATTTTATATTTACCCAATTATCTTATTTATATTAATAATAAGTAATTGGTTGTTATTTGGATATCTTACTAATATTTATTATTTAACTTATTCATTATTAATTATGATTATTATTTTGACAAGATGTATGTATATTTATGTCCTTTGGCATTTAATTATTTCATCATATTTTACTTTCTTGAAAATATTAAAAGACCTTTTGACCGCAAAGTTTTCTCTAAGCCATTTTAGAGATTTCTCATTCATTCGAAAGTGCAAAATGCAGTCATTTGCAGACAGAGGACTGTTCGAAACGTCGTAATAAATTATTACCGGCGTATTATCAAGTTGAGTGCAGAGGATCAAGGCAGGGAAGGGGGGGAAAGGGGGGAGTGTGAGTTTAATCCACCGTCAGAACTATGTTCTGTCAGTGGCAGTTCGCGAAACGCTTCGAAAAGCAGACGTGGACCTGACCCAATTGGAACTACGTTTCGAACGGGGAGCACAGTTGTAATAAAACAGCTAGGTGACATGCCTGACGGTCCACGTCGGGCAAGGTTAAACGCCGACCCTCGCGTCAAGCTTATAAATAACTACGATATTTTCCTGCTTTTCGGCTCGTCTCTCTCCCTTCTCTCTCTCTCTCTCTCTCTCTCTCTCTCTCTCTCCCTCCCTCTCTCTCTCTCTCTCTCTCTCTCTCTCTCTCTCTCTCTCTTTCTTGCATATCCACGACACCTCGACCGAGAAAAGCTCGCGTGATCTTTTCCCGAGCGCGTCTAGCTTCCCGATCTAATTGGGAAATACGGTAATTGGGTCGCACCAAGTGGGGAACGGTAGAATTCTGACATGAGAATCTCCTTTATCCGTCTTGAAAAATACATTTCTCACGTGACAGGCATAATTTTTTATTTGAAACGTTGCTACGATGATCTCATCCTGATCTGTTCGATCATCGTATCGCCACGAGAATAATAATAGCATGCGTTTGACGTGAAAGAAATATGTACAATATACATATGTACAAGAATGTGAAGAATTTTGGAAATACATCTGAAACATATCGTATCGAGTTTCTGGTGGTGTTTGAAGATTTTTCGATTATATTTATTTTGCATTTATAAACGGAAAGAATGATTTTGCTGAAATATCAAATTAAATTTTACTAAATACAGATCTGAAAATAATTTTGTTGGATCAAAGTAATTATATAGGACGTTGAAACTGGTTGTTAGACTGTCAAAACTTTTTGCAGCTTTATTCTTTATGCTTGAGATTTCTACATAATTATTTTAATTATTCAACAAAATTATTTTCAGATCTGTATTTAACTAAATTTTTAGATACTTTAATATTGTTCTTTCCATGTATGTACAGGAAAAATAGGTCACGCGTTCCAGGATTAAAGCTTTGTTGTAGCTTATGTTGGCTTAATATGCGCTCTCGAATAGCATTAATTTGGGAAATTTGGAGTTGAGCTTTAACACACTGCTGTATGAAGATATATTAGCCTGATATACGCGTGATACAAATATGTGAAATCTTCCCGATAGCTGTCAGGTCTCAGGGGAACATCAAAAATTCAATGGACGTCGTTTGCTCCTCTCGAGAAAAGTCAGTGCAATCGATCGTTGGAGGAATCTTCAC